CGCCCGCCCCGCCCACCGGGGAGGGCGCGCTCCCAGCCCCAACGCCTCTCCCTGCACCTGTATCGCGCAAGGAAAACCCAGCTGTCTCAGTGGCTTTATTTCCTCCCTCCCCTTCATTGGTGCTGCAGGATCAAGTGTGTGCTGCTGTTCTGAACATCAATGTCATGTTTCAAACTCTCTCCCCCTCGAGAGAAAAAAAAATGAAGAGACATTAAAAGAAAGAACCTGGTGCTTAGGGTCTGCTCTAACCAGTGGACGTGCAGAAGCGGCCGTCCTGAGTTACGCTCTCGTCCTAACAGACACTTGTGGACACAGTTCCCAGGGCTGGCTCTTAAGCAATCTTCGTGAGGATAAGGAAAGCAATGCCCAGCAGAAAACCCTTTTACTACATCGTGCAGGAAGTAACATATTTCAGAGGATGCACAGTAGATGACCAGACCTCCTGGGAACGCCCACATTCTTTCATTGAAGTAATCATCCTACCAGATGACATCAGAAAAAAATTCTAAATGAAACAAACCTTATTCTCCAACAAAACAATTCGTTCTGGGAGGTTTAATTTTTTTTTTTTAATCCTCACCTGAGGATATGCTTATTGATTTTAGAGAGAGGGGGAGGGAGGGAGGGAGGGAGAGAGAGAGAGAGAGAGAGAGAGAGCAATATGAGAGAGAAACATCAATCATTTGCCTCCCATATGCACCCCAATTGGGGATGGAACCCACAACCTAGGTATGTGCCCTGACCAGGAATACAACCTGCAACCTTTCCGTATACAGGATGCTCCAGCCAACAGAGCCACATCAGCCAGTGCCTGGGAGGTTTAATTTTAACTGTTTATCGAAGTTGCATAAAAAGTGTAATTCCATACATTCAATTACCTCTTATATCTATGAGCACCTCTATTAGTTACATATGAAAAAGAAAATATTGTGTCAACCCCCAAATTCATAGTATCTACTACCATCCTAAATCCCAATTCAGGAAATTGGGAGGTGGGGTAGAGACTGGGCATGGTCTTTTGATGAAGTTACCCAGTTCTCTTGCTTGGCTTGGGAAACCCCCTGTAGAGATAAACATTCCCATTCCACAAACATGCTGCAGACAGTCATGAAACATACATAGTTGCCACTGAAATAAACACCAATCAATATTTGGAAACTTTTAGGCCAAGATGTAAACAAAACCACTCAAGATAGGGCGGAGAATACAAGTTTCCAAGAAGTCATCTGCTGCTGTAATACTGTATAGATTTCGGGCAGAATTCAGGAGAAATCTGTGGCTCGCCCTTTTCCTTAGTAATTTTCAAGGGAACTACAAGATCAGCAATTATGATCTAAATTTGGAACCTGACATTTAAAGTCAAATTTTTTCTCTTATTCCAGGAATGATATTAGAAATTTCCAACTTCTTGAAAAATCATTGCTGAGGAAGATGTCTCTCTAACCATTTTTGCCACTGCCCCTTGAAAAAGCAAACAATAATTTAGGGATGAATTCTAAGTGTTTATATATTTTTGAGCACCATTAATTGAGCATGAGTCAAATGGGTGGGTCCTTTTACTACAGCTGATCAAAATGAACTCTTCTGAGTGAGACAGCTCTTTCACCAGCAGATGTTACAGACCTTTTGGAACTGAAATTCCCGAACTGTTCCCCCAACTAAACTCAAATGAAAGAGGGCGGGCCTACGAGTCCTGGGGGCGAGGAAGGTGTCCTGACAGTATTGTCCTGCCGCTACTTAGAACAAAATCAGGTTCAGCTCTCTGCTCTTGAAAGGAGAGGCAAAGAAAATGAAGTTACACCCAACTCTTCCTTAGACACAATCTCAGGAAGAAGGACTCTGTGAAGATTGTCCAAGAATATTTCCCTACATATAGGAAAGGACATCCCCCACCCCCACCCCGCCTTGCCTGCTGTGATCAAAGTTTGCCTGTTAGACCAGGGAAAGGGATTAGGAAGATGTAGGAAATCAATTCCATTTTATTAAAAAAAAAAAATGAGCCACAAAGGCATTCTAAATTCTGACACCAGCTAGTTTCTAACTTTGGAATAAACTGACATTTGTGGGAATAAGTATATATACTAGTGCTCACCCACTTCCTCCTCAGTCCCTTCAACAAAATGATATTAACCTTCTTTTCTGCTAATAAAAATGATGTGTCGTGTGTGTATGGCGTTTGTGTGTAGCATAAATGGTGTGTGTGATGCATGTGTGAGCAATGTATGTGTGATGAGCGTCATATTTGTGCTATGTGTACTGCGTCTGTGCATTGTGCCTGTTTGTGGTGTGTGGTATGTATCTGCAGAATGTGTCGTGTCCATGGTGTGTGTGTGTGTGTGTGTGTGTGTGTAAGTGAGGGTGTGAGATAGATGCAAACGAACAAGACTTTCTGTTCCAGGATATTGTGGAATGTGCTAAAATACCTTCGTTAATCCTGGGGTTCTGGAGCAGAACTTGGGGGAACACTTGGGAATGGGCTCAGATCGGGGACGGGTCAGGAGGGGATGGAAGCGGGTTCCTCGGATAGGCTTCTTTTATTGATCAGCAGTCATCCCCCAGAGAGCAGCCTGGCCCGGAAAGCTAGCGCCTTCCCCGGGGAACCGCCACCCCAACCCCCCGTCGGGGAACCAGCCCCGAGTGTCCAGCCCGCATGGCAGAGCGCAGGCGTGGGGCCCTGTGGCCGCAGAAGAAATCTTGAGAAGTCGCCCCGGACACCAGGGGCATCTCCAGGGAAAGCGAGGGGCGGCCTGCAGAAGGGGCGCCGGGCGCGGACCGAGGGCAGAAGGGGGGACACAGCAAGCCTTTGGGACCAGCGGCGCCGTCCGAGAGCCAAACGGCACGCCGGTGGCCCCGGCGACACAGGGAAAAGTTTCTGACCAAGACTTGTAAGAAGAAACGGTTCGCTCAGAGTTTGGGGGCTCCCGGGCAGCCTGTCTCTGGAAAGGGTGTGTGGGGCGTGCCGCCACCCGGTTCCATTCCGCGAGCTCTACCCCGCTCTCCGCCGGGCCGGGCACACGGCTGCCCTCACGTCCACTCCAGGTGACAGGTTCCTCGCTCGTGGGTGCAACAAGCTGCAGAGGCACCAGACACACAGCAGAGACAAGGGAGGGTTTTTATTGTGGTTTTCTTCGTGTCCTTTCATACTGGAGAGGGAAAGGGCGGGGCGTCCCCAGTGCTCTCGCAACACGAGTGGGTCACTTACCTCCCCGCGTGGCCAGCGCCGGGAGGCTTTCCC